ATGCTTGGGAAACGTGTACGCAATCGTGGTCATCATAATTTAGCCGATTTAAGAAGAATTTTACTGAAAGAGTGGAAAAACATCCCGGAAGAAGATGTAAGAAACTTGGTCGGTGGAATAAACAGAATTGTATTTTCTTTTTTTTTAAACAAAAAAAATGTATTTTTTTCTTTCTTTCTTGAATTCGTACATTGATTTGTTCTTTTAATTAACGAAACTATCATATCAAAAACGAATCCTTTTGAAAATACCCATTAACATTCAGTCAAATTAGAATATTGAAGTGATAATTTAATTGTGTCTGGTAGTGTATATGAATATTTAAAATTTGTAAACAAGCGGAAAAGCAATTGAAGAGCAGTATTCTCATGCTCGTCGTAGGCTTAGGATGGGAAAAGGCACAGTGAGGCAATGTGTAGCCAGTACGATATGTAAGTACTTGACACTATGTGTAACTGAGATGATTATTTTAGTAGGTTTATATAAAATATATCATTATGATTTAATATTACGCAGAAGCAGAGGCTATTTTAATTTAAGTAGTCCTTTTGAATGAACAATGAAGAAAATGCATGAAGGAGGGCTAGCCCCCCCAATATATCGCAGTCACTTACATATAATATAATAAATGAAAATCTGGTGCGCGCAATCACAAGACTTTCACTTACCACCCTCTTCTTAGCCGAAATAAGTATTTTAAGTAGTGTTGCCCAAAATCGGTCTTGTTCTTGCACTCCGCAAGACCAAGACTAAGGCCGCCTAACTGTTGCAAGACCAAGACCAGGACAGGTGAATAAAATTGATTTTCTAAATAAAAATTAAGGCAAAGTAGTTACTAATAGCCGACAATTTTAGTTACTGTATGTTAATAATTGGTATAACCAAAACACTTTTGCATTTAAATTCTCTAGTTTTTCATTCGGCCTTAGTTAGGTTTCTCCTATCTAAAAAATTACATTAATATCTCTATAGTATTAAGCTAATAAGTAACTGCAAGACTGTTACGAGACTCTTGCGCAAGATCAAGACCATGGCCAAGACTGAGTATGCAAGACCGAGACGAGTCTTGGGCAACACTAATTTTAAGACAAAGGGGAAGAGTAAGTAAAAATTATAGACGCTATATTTATATAAATTTCATTGTGTGTATTTTCAGTTGTTTGAAATATCTTAAATTAAAAAATATCCTTATATATTTTAAGGAAAACCTTGTTGTAACATCCAAGGCTTAAATAAACCTCAAATACACAATTCGGCTTCGTACGACTTTTCCTTTTCGAGCTAGGCTATTTACATACATACACACAGACCGTTTTTCAGGACTTGGTTATTTTAATTCAGGATACCCCAAAGCGTGTATTTCCGTTGAAAACTAAGATTCAAAAATTTTCTCGATCACAATACTTACACTTACTATACATTACGTATAAACGTAAGTGAAAGTAATAATAAATCAAAAATATTTTAAAATCACGATATCTCTATAAATAGTACTTTGACATCGATGAAACTTCTTTAATTTTTAAAGAAATTTAAATACCTTTGAATCAACTTCTCACAATATCCACAAAAAAGTGTATACTTTTTGAATTATTCGGAATTTAATTTCACCATCTCTCTTAACATTTTTTCCAGCTTCTTTTAGTTGAAATAAGTTATACAGATAAATTTAAAGGGTGTCGAGAAAATTACTTTAGCAAACTTTCATTGAAATCGGTTCTAAATATAGCAACGCAGGTTTTGCTGCATTTTTATTTTTTTTCTCCTTTATTAACTTATCAAATTCTTTCAAAAGTTATATTTGCATGTTTTTGTAACTCTGAATAATATGAAATGATTAACTTTCTAAAATAAACCATATTAAAGGTATTTTAGAGGAAGACGCATATGAATACTGGGCATTTAAGCCCTATAAAGTGACATCAACGGGGATAAGACCTAAATGATATAAAAGATATTAAGTGGCACTTCTGGTTAGCTGATATTAATTAGTTGCTGTCCCATCTAAGGCATATACCTATCTTAAATACGTAATATCAGTTTCGTAGGACTTTTCGGTTTGAGCTAGTGTTCACATACACACAGACCAGTTGTGGAACTTACTTATTTGGACTCAGGGGACTTCAAAACGTGTATTTCCGTAGAGAACTCAGATTAGAAAATTTTCACGATCACAATATTTACCCTTACTATTTATTAAATACGTATATAGATAAGTGGAAGTAAAAAAGGGTAATAAACAAATCAAATAAATCTTATGAGTAATAAACTGATTGCAGAGTAAAAAAAAAAGTACAATCTTATGTTAGGTATCGGCAATATGATACCTGATGAAGTCCAACGTATACCTAAACTTTGGCACATGTAATAAAAAGTATTTTAAATACTGTTTCTTTATCAATTCCCGGAATTAACTTCTCCGAGATTATGTAAGTTTAATGTTGAATTCAAATCAGCCTTCTAATTAATGTAAAATAAACATAAATGCACAATAAGTAGTCAATTATCGTGGGAATGAATATCATAATTATTATATAAAAATTGACAGCTTAATATTTAGAGAATAGGTAATATTTAAAGAAAAGGAAGATTTATTTACGCAAAACTCACAAAATATAAAATTTATGGTTAATTATACCTATGATAAATTGATAGGTTTTCACGATAAAAACGCTAAAAAAAAAACGCTGCAACAAAATTATTTTACAATGGTTTATTATTTTCAAACAATTATACATCTAAAATAACATTTCCTTCCTAATCACAAAGAAAAATTAAAGGTGATTCCAATTATTGGATTAAACTTGTTTTTTTTAATCATAAGTAATATGCTAAAAAAAAACTAGTATTACTTCAGTAACACATTCAAAATTCAAAAACCAAAACAAAGGATATAACCTCTTCAGTAGAACATACAAAAAAAAAAAAAAAAAAAAAACTAAATACCGTATCTTTGTTAAAAATTGTCCGATTTTAACGAATTTTATATGAAATTCCGTAAACTTTTAAGAAACCATTTACAATATACACAAAAAAGTGTATACTTTTTGAGTTATTCGGAATTTAATTTTACCATCCGTTTTAATTCTTTTTTCAGCTTCTTTCCGTTGAAGTATGTTATATATATCACATGATAAAGGGCGTCGAGAAAATGACTTTTGCGAAGTTTCATTGAAATCGGTACATTCGTTTAGGCGGTACAGTCAATAACAACAAAGTTTTTTGGCTGCCATTTTGAAAGTAAAAGGCGGATAGTAATGTCGATGAAGGCGGATCATCCCTGGGTGAGCTCTTATTTTATATCCAAATTTGAAAAAAATCGGTCCAGTAGTTTCGGAGAAAATGCGCGGACGGCGGAGGGACATAAAAATTTGTATTCGTTTTTCGAATTCTACGTTCACTGAAACGTGAAGCCTCAAATTTTGAGAGGAAGTTAAGTTTTTGAATTTTATGTCGATCTCAATGGTTCATTATTGAAAATAAACCAAAATCATAAAAATTCTAACATTATTAGTCATGATACAGTCATTTGTGCTCTATAAATTAGTTTATTTCGACCTAAGAAAATATAATTACTTCTACTCTGTTATAATTCACAGATCGATATACCATTAATAAGAATTATTCAGCCAGTTAGAAAAATATATATTATAAATGTAGTTTTTCGAATGACATATTTTGTAGTGTGGAAAGTATTAAGTATGTTGTTCAACTATGAGGCTCGTGAGAACAGGTATTCAAAATAAAACATTAAACCATGAAAATATTAAAACAAAAATCTCTCTCCTTTTTTTAAAAAAATTAAAACTGTGCATGTGTATTCGGGTGGCCGAATGGGCAAACGTGTGTGCACAGCATCGCCATTGTCCGGCAACCTCATACATGAGAATAACTGGATACTTTTAGAAAAGTAGGCTAAATTATTGTTATGAAAAAAAAAAACAAGTAAAATTCATTTTTAGTGCCTTTTGAAACTCTTAAATCCCGATTTTTATTGAAATCATAATTTGCAAACTTTTATACTTGATTTTCTTAGAGGATTTTTTTTTCCGGTCGATAACATAAGAACACGTAACTTCTTTTGTTTTTTGTAATTTATGATGCATTATAAGTCATTTAATACAATAGTTAATATTTTTATCTTATTCTGCACAACAAACAATATAGATTGATATATAATAACCTAAAGTTCCGGACAAAGCAAAGGCAAAAATAATAAATATAAATTTTATTTGAAATTATGTAAAATATTTTGCTTCCTCACTATCGAAGATTGTGTTCGTGCAAGAGATAAAAAAAAAAAAATTGTATTAAAAAAAAGTTTAGTCCAATAATTTGAATCACCTTTTATTTATTTTTATTTATAACTAGGAAGGTAATGTTACTTTTGTATGTATAATTGTTTGGAAATAATAAACCATTACATTTTTACATAAGACCTTTTGTAGTAATAGTATTGAAATTCATGTTCAGTATGCATTTTTTTTGTTTTTTTTTTATTAAGAAAATCAAATATAGAATCTTCAAATTCGGCACTCTTTTGTTGAATGTTGAAGGGTAACTGTCCCGAATTCTCCCAGACATTTTATTCTCATACGAAAAATTGTGTACCATGTGATATTCAATGAAAACGGTGAGGAAGCTATGCTGACTTGCTTAGCAGACGTTCTTTTTCTTGGCTTTTGAATTGGAACAGACATGTTTACATAGACAACGTGAAACACGTCTCAGAGACCAAACTCGCACAAAACATCTACTAGTGTGGACTAGCCATAAGATGTGAAGAGCATGTTACACATAAAGTTATTTTCGTTTCATTTCATTTGATTTCATATATAACAAATAATGATGTCTCTAAAATTCTCCTAGAAGAAAAATATTCAGAGGTAGAAGAGCAGAAAGACCTCGCTTAAAACTCGGAATACCAAGAAAATAAATGATGCTGTTATTATTTATTGTTTACCGCAAGTATACTAAATAATGCTTTAATATATTTTCAGGCAATATGTCAGCTATGGTAGCAGGCGCGGCATTCTCTTGGTTCGAACCAATCACAGTCCGCCTCGTAGAGGACCCTGAACTGGACCTCAGCAACGAAGACGTTTCCTGGATCATCGCCATCCTGGAGATCGGAAATTTCATTAGTCCTCTGGTGTCGGGAGAACTGACTAACAGGTGACTAGCGATTTAGGATACTGGTTCGAGTGAGTGCACACTAAAGCTAATTTAAAGCGTTTCTGATTTGGAACAAGATAGTGAATCAGATGTTTTTCCTTAACTGCCTAAATCAATGGAGAAGTCTATCATGGCCAAGTCTATCAACACCTGGTCACCAATGATTAAACAACTCAATTCTTCTTGATATTATTCTAATAACTTGTCTGAACTTTTGATTTATTTAAATTTATTCCAGTTTTTGATGTATAATTAATCGTTCAAAAAACACATGCTAAGGTCAGTATAACTTTCCCTAAAATTTCCACTGGTTGTACTAGCCAAATTTATTGTTGTATATCCAAGATACCCATATTTCAAGGTCTATAATGTTTCATTTGAGAATCAAATCTTCGTGCGGTTTCTAGGAACTAAATTATTTTTTTCTTTGATCGATGTAACGAAATTTTTCAACATTCAGAACAAAAAATCTATTAATGAGGAATCTTTTTATTTTAATTTTTAATATATTTACAACTGTATTAGCTGTAACGGGAGCCTCTTTAAATAAAAGAATTTTAATTCCAAGAATTAATTTAATATTGTCTCGCACACTGCTTCCATCCGAATTTCAAAGAACAACGTTCTTATTAATTGATTGGTATGGCCATTATCAAATCGTAGGGTGAAAGTTTTGGGAAAATTTGTGTATTATTGCGGCGTCCAGTCATTTTGCATGGACAATTATATATGGCAGCAAATAGAGCACGTTCGTTTAAAATTTGTATTCCCAATGGCAATGGGCAAGGCTACTTAGTAAACAGTAACAGAATATTAAAAAATATTAAAAAATTGTTTACTGAGAAGTTCTACATAAAAATTGGTTCAGACTGAATTTAAATTTATTTTTACTTCCTTCATTATAACATTAATTTATTGTGGTAATAACACACATATAAGTTAAAATGGAAATTAAATATTTTTGAATGAGTCTATTTTGTATTACTTATAAATAATTTCAAGTAACTTAAGCTCGATTTTTAATTTAAATTTAAATTTTGTTTATATTAATAAATGAGGATTTTTGAATCGTGATTTACTCTTTATTTATAGAATTTATTTTTTATTTAATTATATGCTTTTTTCAAATTTTTAATGGTTATGGCCGAATTTCGGCCACTGGGCGAACACTAGTAATAAATAATTAGGCATATATCATCGTTATATTTCAAACAAATTTTCTTTTGTAAAACACATTCGTCATTTACAATTTATTTTTTTTCTTTAACTATTTATTCAAGATATTTACAACTGTATTAGTATAAATACTTCAAGTAAATGTGTACAGAGGAATATAATTACATGAAAACGGTTGTTAGAAACAAGAGGATTCGGATGGTTATGAAGTTTATTATGGAAGGATAGCTATCTAGATAGGGCCAAATCTGAAACATATGGAACATTAAGGTCAAGGACGAATCTAAAAATATGAATGAAGTTGGCTAATTGAATGAAATGAATGACTATGCAAACCTAAATTTTTTTAAGGCAAACAACATACCCTTAAAGAAATAAATAGATGAATAAGTTATGTATTATCACCGCAGACTATCAAGTTTATGAAGGAAAATTATCGTTGAGCGATTTCAACCAAATATTTGTATTATTATTTATTTGATATAAAATACAATTACACTCAAAGTATATCCCTTTGTTATCAACCATCATTAGCCATCTGCTAGCCAATGCATCGATCTCACGCTTACAGTAACCTTTGGAATGGCTGTCAAAGAACTCTTTTTTTCAATTTTTAATCTTTTGAAATTGACAATTTCAAAATTGTCAAATTTTTTACCATGAAGAAAATGGGCGGTGGATCTGAAGAAGTAGTAATCCGATGGTGCGAGGTTTGAACTATATGGTGGATGAGACAGGAGTTTTCCCGGCATGTATTTTTCAATAAATTTTTACAAATTTCTAGCCTGTTAGCTGATTGCCGAGGAGTAAGTTCGTGAGGGACCAATCTAATGCTCTTTTTCAGTTTCCCCATGGAGAGTAGATGGCGAGTAACATTATCTTTCGACACACCACATTCCCTGGCATGTTCGCGAGTACTTGTGGACGGATTTGACTCAACAGCTTTTTATGTCGTATCTCCACCGCTAACTTTTTTAAACTAACGCCGCGCAGTGCGCAGGTCAAGAAAATCTCTCCCTTAATATATTAATAAATTTACGAGTTATTTCAGTGGCTGAGTAATTTTTTTTTCTCCAAATTACGAGAATTTCGTAGGACACTGCCGTGTTTCTTCTTTGAAACAAATAACTAAACTGAAACTTTTTTTTGAAAAATGCGAATGTTATTAAACATGCTTAAAAAATGCCCTAAAGGGATTATTAAGCACTGGTAAGTTTTAAATAGGATTACAATATATATAGTCCTTTGGAATCTTGAATTTGCTAAAACGGTAATTTTTTTTTAAATACTGTATTAATTTGAATTTACAAATTTATATATTTAAATAAGTACTTCAAAAAATACACATCATAATCAAGACCCGGATTTTTATGCCATTTCATATTTTGTTTGCGTTAATTGTTTTAACCGCTAATCAAATAATTATACAAAATTGTACAATGTGATACAATTAGTCAAATTTTATTTTGCATATCTGAGGATAAATGCATATAATTGCATATATATGTGAATGAATATTTATTTATTTATATATACAAATTAAAATGTAATATTGAAGATGCAACCTAATATTACGTAGGTTTTGAATGAACCAAATATATCACATTTATACACTGTATACCTTATTTATTCCTTCCTCCCTTCCTTGCCTATCGGATACACGGGATGGCATATCTCAAACGTGCATGTCATTCCTGCTATTAAACGACAAATATTTTAACAGTTTTGTTTTGTTTTTTCAAAAACTCTTCTGTTTCCTTAATTTTCTTTTCACCATATCAGTCTGGTGCCTTTAAATGGGCAGGTCCTTTTCTTCCCAGATTGAAGAGTGCCGGGCCCAGAGCAGCTTTCCACCGTACTGGAAAATCTTTGTAACACGGATAGTTATGCTCTGTTACCGATTGGGGAAATTCATCCTCAGTGAGCCCATAGAGTCGAATTGCCCTTATTCGATCAAATACGGTGCAGTTGAATATTACGTGCTCAGCCGTCTCCGGTACTCCGCAAGTGGGGCATAGGGGATCTATGTCTTTTCTAAGATTATGCAACCTGGCGCGGAAACCCCCATGCTTCGTAAGAAATTGAGAGATCCAGTCGTCTCGGAGAACTCACTTCGCATCCAAGGGACTTCGGTCGGTATGGAAATATTTTCTTAAGGTCGCTCCTTTCGAGGTAGTTATCCACCGCCGGTTCCACTCATCTGTGCTATTCTGTCGAATAATCCTTTGCGATTGTCTCAGGTCTTTAGAAATCCTCACCCAGATACTCTCCTATAGACTGTAGACTGTAGGCTGAGTAGACTGTATACCTATTTATTTTATTTACATTCCACCCTCCCTATCTTGTCTAATGTGCTATACGGGCGTTTGCAATAGTGAGGTGTTATGCATGACCGAATAACAGCATACTACTGCAAGTGAAACAGTTTAAAAGTTTTTATCTACAGTGACTTTTGACGTCAAATTTCCGACATGCTGTTTTCGACAGATCTATACGTTTCCGAGCCCTCTGAGTCCGAAAACCATATTTTTAGCCATTGGTCTGTATTAGCGACCTTATTCTTTTTTTTCACATTTTTTTTTTAACTTATACTTTCCTACATACACTAGGTAAGGAAAGTATTGAAATCGGGTCAAATTTCCGACTCAAATCTTATGTTTGATCAATTTTCAGGAAATTGTATCTAGTTCAATTCTTTTTTGTTTCTTCATGAACATATGCAAAGATATCAAAACTTTTCTGAAATAGGTAGTAAAGTCGTGTGAGTGGACACACCAGATATTTTTTATATGTAATAAATATATAGAATTTTTTCTTCATTACACTTCTTATTACACTAAGTTTGTAATTTCAGATTCGGCCGTAGGTTGATGATCATGAGCACCGGACCACTCTGCCTGGCAGGATGGATTCTAGTTCTCTGCTCCAAGAGTATTCTTTCTCTGATCGTTGCCCGGATACTCCACGGACTGGCGGTGGGGGTGGTCTTCACGATCCCGCCGATCTACACGGCAGAGATCGCCGATCCTAAACTGCGCGGTAGGCTCTCCGGAATCTTCCTATTAGCCTGGTTCCTTGGATCCTTGTACTCCTTCAGCGCTGGTCCTTACCTCAGCTATGATACGTTCGCCTATGCTTGCCTCCCGTTTTCAATAATATTTACAATATTATGGATGTTCGTACCTGAGACTCCATACTACCTATTGATGATTGGGCAGGAGGAAAAAGCCAAGGAGGTTCTCAAGTATTTCAGAGATGAAGACGTTGAAGAAGAATTCGTGAACATGAAGAAATCAGTTAGAGAAGAGATGTCAACGGAAGGGTCCTGGAAAACACTCTTCTTCGACAAGATCGAGAGGAAAGCATTCATTATTGTACAGATCGTCTGCATTACCAAAAACCTCACTGGGATGTCAGTGCTCGAAAACTACGCGTTGGAGATATTCTCGAAAAGTGAATCCTCTGTCTCTCCAGAAATCATGTCTATTCTTCTCGCCGTTCTCCTTTCCGTTATGGGTTTTATCGGAGCCTTCCTCTCCGACTGGGCTGGTCGTAAACCAATGCTCCTCCTGTCCTGCTTTGGTTGCTTCTTCGCACACTTCCTCAGCGGTGGATATTATTACATCCACGAGAAGACCAACATTGATGCCTCTAACTATATTTGGGCACTCTACATCGGTATTACTATGTATGGCGTCCTGTGTTGCATGGGCATAGGAGTCATCCTGCAAACCCTACAGTCCGAAATGTTTGGTGCAAGTACTAGAGGTATCGCAGCCGGAGTCACTGAGGGTTTGTCTTCATTTTTTGCATTATTGGTAATCAAACTATATACTACAATAAACGAGGCC